GAAGGAGATCAGGTTGGTCAAGCAGGACCTGCCTTTCATGAACCCATGCTGACTGGGCCCGATCCCCTGGTTGTCCCGTATGTGCCGTGTGATGGCACTCAGGATGATCTGCTCCATAACCTTCCCCGGCACCGAGGTCAGGCTGACAGGCCTGTAGTTCCCCGGATCCTCCTTCTGGCCCTCCTTGTAGATAGGCATCACATTTGCAAACCTCCAGTCGACTGGGCCCTCCCCGGTGAGCCAGGACTGCGGATAAAGGATTGAAAGTGTCTTGGTGAGCACCTCCGCCAGCTCCCTCAGTGCCCTTGGGTGGATCCCATCCGGCCCCATAGACCTGTGTGGGTCTAACTGGTGTAGCAGGTCGCTGACCATTTCCCCTTGGATTATGGGGGCTTCATTCTGCTCCCTGTCCCTGTCTCAGGGGGCTGGGTACCCTGAGAACAACTGAGTATGACATGAGTAAAGGCGGTTTATCCTGTAGCTCTTATGGCCAGGACTGCACCTCCAGCCAGTGCCAAGACCACTTTTTGTTGCTGTCAGTACATCTGGTATCAGAAAGTAAAACACAAGACAAAACCACAGATTGCAGAACACAGGCAGTGTGGGCTGATGCTGTGGCATCCACTCGATACTCCCCTGTTACTGTTACATCATTCATAATTAATTTATTTTTGAAGAAACTGGAGGCGGAGGAGTGGCCTTGTGATTGCTGGCCTCCTGTCTGCAGAACCTGCCTGTGCGGGGGGCCATTGGGAAGTCAGATGTCTCAACCCTTTTTTGGGATGTCTGACATATGCAGAAAGAAATAGCATAAAGTCAGACTGTGCTCTCGCTGGGATTTCTCTTTGACCAGCATATTCTAGCATAAAAGTCATCTTAATATAGAATGTTTTCTGAAAGAAGTGTCCTATCATAACCAATCCTTTCCTCTAACAGGAATATCCTACGTACACGATCCTTGGCCAAAGTCAGTACCAGACATGTTACCCCAGTTCTGGCTTTGGAGTCGTAACACCAGCAGACAGCAACACGGAGAGTACTGCACTAGCAACAGCTACGTATCCAACCGAAAAACCAAACGCCATGGTGCCTACGCGGACGGTGCAGAGACATTCCTCCGGTAATGGTTGGATCTCTAACAGGGTGGCTGCAAAATACCTGTGATAAACAGTGTGCAGACATGGGGAAAACTTTTTTCCAAAAGGTAATTGCAGCACCTTTGCGTGCTGGCCTGGACAGGACATTTGCCTTCCACTGTCAGACTGGTCTCACTGGTGTGTGGAGTGTTATGGTGGGCCAGCCAAACTTACGTATTGGAAGTGTTATACTGCTGTGATTCAGGAGACACCTACCACGTGCTCTGGATGCCGTAGGGAGAGGGAATTCCAGGGCTGACTTGAAGAGTTACCAACAGCAGCTCCCCGGGGACCGTTGATTCTGTCACGTGTCGGGGCTGGGTGTTCACTTGGGCTACAGGGCAGTTGGTGATATCCAGTCTCAACAGCTCATGCTCGCTCTTTCCCTCCCACAGCCAGGTACAGATTACCTGACAGCCACGACATAGCTGCCGGTCCCAGGTACAGGAGTCCTCTGGGGCTGCTCGTGCATTTTCGAGAGCTGTGGTTCGGCCGTCAGCTCTCAACGAGCTGGTCTCTGATGTGCCCAGGAGTACATCCTTCCCTTTCTTCTGCTTCATCGTGTAAACCGGTTTTGAAATGACAGCTGTTCTGCTGTGCTTTGTGTGTGAGCAGATCTGCGTCTGCATAGCGTTAAGTTATCTGGCACTTGTCGGGGGGAGAAGATTTTAGCTGGTAAGAGAAGAGATGTAGAAAGTGGATTGAAAAGGTTTAATTGGCTATTCTAGAGAAGTCACATCTTTTGCTGGCCTTTTGCACTAATGTCGTATCATGTACCAACTGCAGTGGTGTGGACTAATATTTCCTCGCCAAAAATACAATTTTCTAAACTTAACAAGGACAAGAGCAAAGACTTAGTGCTTCTTCTGCTGTCTTTGCAAGGAGGTATGAGATTCTTCCCGTGTTGTCAAACAGTTTTAAATTGAAATCTGCTGCCTGTTGCAGATTGGTAGGCTGGAAAAAAAATACAGATTCTGCCCATTTTTCTTGGTGCCCTGGGTCTGGCCGGGATGGAGTTAACTTTCTTCATAGCAGGTCTGCTGGTGCTGTTTTGGATTTGTGGCTAAAGCAGTGTTGATAACACACCAGTGTTTTGGCTGCTGCTGTACAGTGCTTGTACAGTGTCAAGGCTTTCTCCCCTCCGTACCACCCCTAGCAAGCAGGCGTGGGGTGGACAAGAACCTGGCAGGTGACACAGCTGGGACTGAAGGGACATCCCATGCCATATAATGTCAGGTTCAGCAATAAAAACTGAAGTAGAGGAGGAAGAGGATAGGGGTTTAGCTTGGCTCTTGCTTGGAGACTGGCTGGGCATCAGCCTGCTTGTGGGAGGTGGTGGGTGATTGCCTTTGCAGCACTTTGCCCTCTTCATCTCAAAATCATGGAATCACAGAATCATTAAGGTTGGAAAAGACCCTTAAGATCATCGAGTCCAACCGTTAACCTATCACTGCCAAGTCCACCACTGAACCATGTCCTCAAGCACCACGTCTGCCCTTCTTTTAAATCCCTCCAGGGATGGGGACTCAACCCCTTCCATGGGCAGCCTGGGCCAGGGCCTGACAGCCCTTTCGGTGAAGAAGTTTTTCCTAATATCCAACCCAAACCTGCCCTGGTGCAGCTTGAGGCCGTTCCCTCTCATCCCATCGCTTGTTACTGGGGAGAAGAGACCGACCCCCCCGGCTCCAGCCTCCTTTCAGGCAGTTGCAGAGAGCGATGAGGGCTCCCCTCAGCCTCCTCTTCTCCAGGCTGAGCACCCCCAGCTCCCCCAGCCGCTCCTCGACTTCCCCAAGTCCATCAGTAGTACCTGAGCTCTGCCAAGTCCTCAAACTCATTCAAGCAACCTGAAAGCAGGGATGGGTGGCTGCCAGTGAGCAAAGCACACAAATCAATAGCCTTGAACTCAGTGAAGCTCCAGACCTCTCTCACCTTTACGTTATGGGATGCTACAGACAGGGGATGACACACTCCACGCTGTGATGTTGTAAATCAAGAAGCATGGTGCTTCAGGCACTTTCCCTCTTTCAAGAAGCAGTTGCCCTCTAGTTGGGGTGAGCAGCAGCAGATTTACCCATGAGAATATGTTCTTATTTGATGTTGAAAACCTAAGGAATTGACCTGTTATTTCAATGCACTGGCCTGGGAATGGCCCAGTTATTAATGTTTTCAGTGCCATTTTCTTAGCTCGGGAATTCTCCAAGTTCACCGTTTTGCATGAATTTTCATAGGAATTGCAATGTCTTGTCTTCAAGACCCATACTGAATTCAAGCTCTTTCAAGTCCCCTGTGCCCTCTGCCTTCCCGCCACAGTGCTGGTCCTGTTTCTGAACTAGCTAGGCAGATGTCTGGGATGTTGACTCTTCTGCCTGAACTGTTAATAAAGGATGCAGAGAGTATCTCCCATCGTGCTTGTAATATTCTGCACATCAAAGCATTGATCGTTTTTTTTTAATACATTTTTTTATGGTGGTGCTTTACTCTTGTCTTTCCCTGGGAAAGGTGTTCTTACCAGTAGCAGAGTAGGCTCCATATTGTATCCCCGTCAGTCATGGCCAAGTCTGTGTCTCCAGGGCCAAGATCATCCCTGTTATTCTTTACTAATTCTTGGACAGGCCAATGGAGCTGTAGTCTGTCTGGCCCACTGTGGATTTGCGTGTGATTAATCCACTCCAGATAACTCTGTGCACAGACTGTTGTTTAACTGTTAGTCAAAGGCTTACAGTGGCACAGGAGTGAGCAGTGTACGCGGAGGTGGAAACAGCATGCGTTGTGTAGTGTTGCTGGACACAAAAGGCATTTGACTGGTCCCCGAAATCTGGGAGGGAGAGGCATCGTTAAATACTCTCCTTTGTACATTCATTCCAGACTGAGGGTTTCTGGTGCTCTCTCAAGAAGTATTAAAAGAAACACTTGAGTAATAAAGCAGTTCCAGGGTAGTGAGACATCTGAGGGGTTACGGGCCTTAGGATGGAGGGTGCTCTGTCTTTGGCTTTGTAGCTGCAGTAGCTGAGTCCTGGTAGACTGAATTGAGGAGACAGAGCTGTTTTGAAATGATGGGACAAAGAAGTCATGTTTTATGTTCTAATAAGGGCTCAACGGCTACTGCATCAATAAAGCAAGATAACATCTTACCTTTTGCAAAGGAGGTTTGTGACCAAATGCTTTATGTTGGTGTTTGTTTTGAGACGTGAAGGGGTGAGAGCTGTGTGATTTCTTTCTTCTAGGAGATGCATCCACAAGTCCTTCATTATCAAGAGCAACAGCAAGTAAAGACTTAGATGAGCAGGCAAGAAAAAACATCCCTGGGAAGAACAGGGGGAAGAGGAAAGCAGATACCTCCTCCTCACAGGACAGTGAACTGGAGGTAAGTAGTAATCTTGTTTTCTATAGGTGGCATTGCAGAATAGTGTGGTGGTAAAAGTCCTCCTCTCTTCCTTTTGTCCTATCTCCATGGAAATGGAAGGGGATCATTAGAATCATAGAATAGTTGGGGTTGGAAAGGACCTTTAAAGGTCACCTTGTTCAACCCCCCTGCAATGAGCAGGGACATCTTCAACTCGGATCAGGTTGCTCAGAGCTCCGTCCAGCCTGGCCTTGAATGTTTCCAGGGATGGGGCATCCACCACCTCTCTGGGCAACCCCTGCCAGTGTTTCACCTCATCGTAAAAAATTTCTTCCTTATATCTAGTCTGAATCTCCCCTCTTTTAGTTTAAAACCATCACCCCTTGTCCTATCACAGCAGGCCCTTATAGAAAGTCTGGCTCCATCTTTCTTATAAGCCCCCTCTAAGCACTGAAAGGCCACAAGAAGGTCTCCCCGGAGCCTTCTCTTCTCCAGGCTGAACAAGCCCAGCTCTCTCAGCCTTTCCTCACAGGAGAGGTGCTCCAGCCCTCTGATCATTTTTGTGGCCTCCTCTGGACCCTCTCCAACAGGTCCCTGTCTTTCCTGTGCTGAGAGAGAATGTGGGAAATTCCTACACCCTATGTTATCTGAGAACTGGTCCAAATGTGTTCTTCAGTGGTCCTTGACAAGTATCACTTAAACGCATCTTGGAATAATAGTGGTGTCAATGGAGGAGACATCTGGATGTCTCTAGTACAGCCTTCTGCTCAGAGCAGGGCTGTCCCCAGCACTAGAACCATGGCTTTGTTTAGCTGAGTCTTGAGAAGGTTGGAGATCCCACGCCTGTCTAGTGATCTGTCCCAGGACTACCATGTCCACCTGAGGAAGGAGGTTTTCTGTCTCCAGCTGGAATCTCCTAAGCTGCAAATTTCTCCTTCTTGTTCCATGGCAATTTTACATCTGCCACTACTGAGAATAATTTGTCTCCATCATCTTTGCAGTTCCCTTTCAATTAGTTGTGCTCTGCTATTAGATCACCCTTAGTCTCCTCTTTGCCGAGATAAACCATCACAGCTCCCTCAGCCTCTCCTCTAGGTTGCTGACCGTCTCAACGACCTTTTGCTGGCCGCTCTCTAGTTTCCTCCCATACCTCTGGAACTGGGGGTGCAATCTGGGGTGACTTTCCCAATGCCAAGTAGGGTGAGACAGCACCTTCCTTCTGTCAGCTAGGTACACTTAGTATTCTTGAGCATGCAGTTCATCTTATCCACAGGGCGAGAGCGCGGCTGGCTCGTACTGCGTCTGATGTCCACTGTACCCTCCAGCTCCTTCCAGCCTGGACCAATAAGAGGGGTTGTTCTACTCCGCATGCAGAATCTGCAGTTATTGAACAACTTCTGGTTCCTGTTGGCCCGGTTCTCAAGTTTATCCAAGTCCTTCTGTACTGAAGCTCTGCTATTCCTCATGGCAGCCAATCCTCCTTATTTATCATAACAAAGGTGTCTGATAAACACCAAGGCCATTTACCTGGTGCTCTCCAGATCAGGGACAGTAAACTTCTACCCTAGCAGGGCTCTAAAGCTCATTAGCACTCTTAAGTTTTTGCTTTTTTAACTGTAAAAGCAACAGAAACTTTTAAAGTAGTTTGACCAAGAGAGCTTTACTCTGAGCGCATAGTTGCACTGTAGCAGTATATAAACTCCACCGCACTAACTGAAAGAGTTTAGTTAATAATGTGTTCAGCCTGTAAGATGAACACTGTTGTTCATATCTGTTAAAAGCATACTGCAACTAGCCACAAAATTAACCCTAAAACTTGCTCCTTTATTGTAGCTCAGTGCTTGGAATATCTCAACTCTAACCTGCTTTTATTCTCTCTGCAGCGAGTCTTTCTCTGGGACCTGGATGAGACCATCATAATCTTCCATTCGCTTCTCACAGGATCTTATGCTCAAAAATATGGCAAGGTAATACTGTCTTTTCTGTGGAAGAAAAACCATATCTGTCATGCAGAAGGAAATGCTAATCTTTGGGAAAGGAATAGAAAATGGTATTTTGTTTTAAATGTAAGGCGATAGTTTTAACTGGTTGGCAGCTTGGGGCAGGGAAAGAACACTACGTTTGGCTTTATACAGAGCTAGGATATGGACATCACAAACACTTCCCTTCCAACAGTACAAGTCTTAAAATGTCAAACTGTTTTTATCATCGTTGGGAATTATTGAGGTCATAGCATGTAGTGAAAAGAAGTATTTTTTCTCCTTCAAAAGATATTGAAGATTTTTTAATTTTTGGTTTGTGTTGCTTCTGAAAATGCATCAGTCCCTGCTATGCAGTACTGAAGTGTTTTGTTAGGTTTTGGGTTGCTGTATTACCAGAATGTGGATTTTTTTTTAATTGAGTTGTTTAAAATACTAGGGAAATTGTAGTTCACACTATTGAAGGCAGACTAAATTACATCAGGCTTGGTGTACAGTGGAAACTCTCTGCAATGTAACTGATGAAAGATTTATCACAATTTAGTTCTGCCTGAACCACAGTGTATTTACATTTTCTCTTTTTGTTTTGCCAGGATCCAACTCTGGTGATTGGCTCGGGTCTGTCAATGGAGGAGATGATTTTTGAAGTAGCTGATACTCACTTGTTTTTCAATGACTTGGAGGTACTTGGCAACTGGTTTTGAAAGGCAAAACTCCACATTACCTAGTTAGAATTAAACTGCGTTTGTGAGGGCTTGTTGTGCCTCAGAGCCACTTAGTGCTGAAACATAACAGTCTGCCAAAACTGAAGTGATTCTAAGCACAACCAAATCAGAGGTGTACTCTTTTATCTGAGACAGGCACTCTGCAGACTTCTAGTGTCATGAGCTCTCTTGGCTCTCTTATGGGTTACTACTTGAACCTGTATAAATAAAAAGAGTGATGTCTGCTTTGTCTTATATTTTCATGCTGGACTGGTAAACACTTTGTTCTCACTGATCCTGTTTTGAAATGGAGACCAGAGATGTGGGGAAGAAGGTGACCTTGAGAATGTCAGTTCTCAGGGGCTTTGACTAAGCCAAGGACAACTTGTGCATCTCAGCCAGCATCTCAGTAGGTGCCACTGGCTCTGTAACAGCTAGGAAGGACACGCTTCCCTAGGCAAGCATGCTGTGCACATGGAGGGCCCACAGCACCCTCCAGTTTTCTTTCCTGCAAGCTCTCTCTGCTGCTCTCCCGTTCCCATCCTGCCTCAAGGACTTCCGATCAGCTCCCATCCTCTTTCATGTGCAATATTCTTTGTCAAATTAAATACATCTCACTGTTCTGCACCGCTTCCCCAGCAGCTGAACACAAATCTTTGCTTTAATCGTGGCAGTGCTTATGCTGTGCTATGATATTATGAGATAGTAACAGACACAGTAATGCGATTTATACAGGAAGGTGTGAAGTTATGCCAGAATCTGGGACTAAACGGTCGGAAATAGCATATTTCCTGACTCATGTCTTCTTTGATACGAGTCCATGAATATAGACTCTTGAACCTGATTTGCAGAATTTACAGGGCTAGTTTAAAGCTTAGGAGGGCTGAATATGAACAGTGAACAATTAATTGTAGGTGCATCACTGATGCATATCGTGGGAAAACAAGATGGTTTTGTTGATGCAAATAGAAACTTAATGAAGTTCCCATTTGTGGCTGTGACTACTTGCAGCTGTGAACTTTGCAAAGGTAGTGATAACAGTGACCTCCCTGCCCCAGAGAGAAAAAAAAAACCAAAGCACCATAACCAGTCTCTTGTACTGGAAAGGTTGTCACTGATATGTTAACTATGTGATCAGTGACAACACTTAGTGCTGTAGGTGTTGGTTAGTCACAGCAGCGGGAAATTCCTGAAACGGGGAAAATTCACTTCTTGTCCTAAGGTGTTTGCAGTTTATCTCTGGGTTAAATCAGCCGTGCTAAGCACCGGAGTCCTGGCAGTGCCGCCATGCTGATCTTTCACTCCCGGGTTTGTGCTGTGACTCTCCAGTAACGGAACTGACCATTGTGTTGATGAAATGGAATATCAATACTTGACCAAATAATGTGGTTTTGGGGTATTTTTGCTTTTGTTTGGTTTGTTTTTCTGAAATGGCAAAAGGGTTTCAAATGACAAGCGAGCTTTGAATCCAACCTGTTTAGTGAGTGTCGAAGTTCCTTTTTTGCAGACAACTTGAAATGTCATAGAAGCGTGCTTTTTTCAGGCTTTTCAAATCTCAGTCTTGGCAAGGACCTGTAGGTGCTGAGAAGTAAAACCTAGTAGTGGAATCCAAAGCTAATGGAAGCTATATATAGGTTTGTGGAGGCAGTACGGCATGGCTTGTTGCTGTTGGGAAATGTGAGGAGTTTGTTTTATATCACACTTTCTTTAATCCGCAAATTTCAGTATATTTCTGGATTACAACAGTGTGACTTTCTTTTTTTCTTAAACAGGAGTGTGACCAGGTACACATAGAAGATGTGGCATCTGATGACAACGGCCAAGATTTAAGGTGGTGTACTGTTGAATGCATGAAACGTATAGCTGATGTAATCTGGTTTTTGTGGGGATTTCAAAGCCAGTTGAAGTTAAGGGATGGAGATCAGCATGGCGCAGGGGATGAAACTTGGCAAACGGTGTTTGTTTGCTGGGTGGTATTTCTCTGAAGACCTACAAAACATTAAGACTTTTGGAATTATAATGTGAATTATATTGCCCACTGTTGAATGTTGCCTGTGTGCTCAATGACATGTCATGAATGGAGAGCCAGCTTTCCAAACTTCATGATCTTGACCTTTGAAAGTCTCGCTATGGTTTGCATCCCTCTGTGAGCTGATCGTGGACACTATCAGGCAGGGTGAGGGTAAGTTTTATCTTGTATTAATGAGCTGAACTGGCTCATGGCAAGGTCTGAGAAGTGCCTGTCTGTCAGGGAGAAAGAAATACGGGGAAAGCGGTGAAGCAGGACCTGCTTCCTGCAGTCATGAGCTGGTAAAGCAGCTCATCTGCTTGTGGAGCTGCAGCTGTAATGTAAAGACACAGCTGTTATGTTTGGAAATTACTGTGCCGGGGTTTGTCACTGCAGGATGAGAAAGGGGTAAGTGGGAAGGATGCTCTGTATTGGGGAGGAGTGAGCAGTCGAAGAGCAAAGGAAGGTTTTGTAGCGGAGGGTGTGAAAGAAGAGTTGAACCAGTACCTTTCAGTACAGCAGTTCAGAACCAGCAGCAAATGTAGCTGGGTATCAGAGTACGTTGCCTGTAGAAGTCGGTCTCCACTGCTGGGGCGCAGTGGTGGTTGTGCAGAGTTCCTCTGCGAGGTGCTTTTCTAGCTCCTGTCGGAGCTGAAGTCTCCAGCCCCACCAGAAAAGCTGCAGTGATTCTGCTGCTGTGGCACACGTAACGGATCTGCTTTTCTGAAATAGCAACTACAATTTCTCCACGGATGGCTTCAGTGGCTCAGGAAGTAACGCAAATCACAGCTCCTCCGTTGGTGTCCAGGGTGGAGTGGACTGGATGAGAAAACTGGCCTTCCGCTACCGCAGGGTACGAGAGATCTACGACAAATACAAAACTAACGTTGGAGGTGAGTGGTCATCTGCACCGATGTCTGAACACTAAACAGAGTTTGTGGTGCCAGACTCCGTCCTTCCTCAGAGCTTTTGCTTTCCTGAATGCTTGGGCATGGAAAGTAACCATCGCCCTAGTGCTAAATGGGATCAAATCTCCATGGAATCGGTCTTCCAAAACTGAACGGCATGCCGGTGCAGTCTCTGAGTTATCGTGTAGATAGGGGTGGTCAGTCAGTCGTGTATCTCAGAGAAAATTTCGGTGCCAACAGTGTTCCTTTGCTAATTTTGTATGAAAGGCTGCCTGTCACTCTGCTTAGAATGGGCCTAAATGACTTGCATATCATGCTGCTTAGGAGGTCTTTTCACTCGCGTCTTCACAAAATCTGTCTTTTATCATGCCATTGTCAAGAAATACAGCGTTGTGCTCATAGTCTGACATGACATCTCTACCATCTGTTCATAAAGTCACTTAAAATCTTCTAGTTTTGCTTCCCTTCCAATGCCAAAGTAGTAATAATGATGCAAACCACAGATATCAAGTGTAGATAAATTGTCTGTTTAGTCTGCACCTTGGCATTGACGTCCCTGGGAAAGGGGTGCTGCTGGAGCAGCTCACCTGGCAGCGTGACTTGGCCTGGTGGGTTGTGGGTTTGGGTATCCTTTGCCCATGCAAAAAAAAACTTGATAGAACGTTTTCTTGGACATATTCTCTAAAAAACAGGTGTTAAAACTATAACTTTCAGCCTTAAAAATCTATCAGTATAAGTCTGCATTTCAGTATGCTGCAACTACCTTATTTCTGGTAGGGATCAGACCATTATTCCTCATTTTGCACGTGGGAAACCTGGATGCAGAGTTTTTCAGGACCTGTCTAAAGCCACGTGGTAAAGCATTCGGCAGTGCAGCCCACAGTGGGTCCCTCCGTGGCCTCGCTGGCAGAGGACTGGTGTACTTCAGGGCTGGAGTGAAGTGGGGGGTTCGTACGTCGTGGCTGGAAATCGGGTGGAGAGGGGTTCAGACTCGGGGTGCTCCTTTCTTGTATTTACTGATGGGAGCAGGTTTGAGTGTATGGCTGCTTTTAATTCAAAACTGGATGCTTGAGAAAATGATAGCTAAAAAAAGGGATAAAAAATATGGGGATAAAAAAAAGGGGATTAAAAAAGATGAAGTGGAAAGGGTCCTTGGGAAGTAGGAGGTCAGAGAGGGCGACTGCAGGAGTTCCTTCCCCTGCTGCCTGTGGCCTCGGACACCGCCTGTTGCTCTGAGTGCTTTGTACAAGAGAAGCGCGTTTTGTTGCGTGTATCCTGAGAAATGGCTTGAAATAACCAGAGAAAGGTATCTGCCCAGTTCCCCACAGTCAGAGTCACGGATGGGTGTCTGGGCTCATCCGCGTCACTGGAAGCTGGTTTCTCCCATTGCCTCAAGACAGTCTCAGCTTTCGGATGCCTCCAGTACCGTGTTATTTATTGTAGAGCAGGCAGCTGTTAAATTGAGTGATGGCTCTCTCGGACTTGCCAGCTCAGCTGGGAAAACTTGGGTTGCTTGCCTTCCAGGCCTTCTTAGCCCACAGAAGAGGGAAGCTCTGCAGCGGCTAAGGACCGATATAGAAGTGCTGACAGATTCCTGGCTGGAAACTGCATTAAAGTCCCTGCTACTCATACAGTCCAGGTATGGAAACTGGAAATGTCTATGTTGCTTTCTCAGCCCTTTTTCTCACTTAGATTTGCGTGCAGTGCTTTGTTGCAGCCGTGTCCATATGCAATACTGCTGCTGCTTGTCACAGGTACTGGGAAGCAAAGTGAGTGAGGGACTCCACGCCTGAGCACCCTTTGGGATTTTTCTGCTGCAACATCTGTTGTTAAGAAGGTCTCCTTAATAGGACTGTGCTCACAAAATTGCATTCCT